TGGCAAAAAAATCATATCAAGATCAACATTGTTCCAGAGTTCAAGCTATAAAAAGGAAAACAAACCTTCAAGATCAATAAATAAAATATTTAAAAAGGACAAATCATCCAAGTTTCAGTGAGTGAAATCATGTTAACAAATTATCATGACACCTGTGATAAATGACCAATTAGGCTAACACCAGCAAGAAAGTTAAAGATGAATGAAGTAGAGGAAAACTCAAAGCTGGGAATGGTGAAGAAAATATGGGGCCTATGATGCTGGTGGAAAAATTTAAGGCTCTAATCTGAGTTATTTGTTCTCCAGCTTTCAACTACATATGGAATTAAAATCTGATATAGATTATGAAGTTGTCATTGAAGAAGAGACAAAACAATAAATACCACCATTTCAGCAGTCTTAACATGTGTCAATGAACTCCAATTTCCTCCTCCCATCAAAAGATGCAGCCCGGCAAGACTTTGATAGCAAAACTCCAAAAAAATCAATGATGAGTAAAGACAACATATACAAAAAAAGATGCAAAATCGGGAGTGGCAAGGAATTAAGTCTTCTACTCACATTTCACAATCAAGATTATGAAGGAGAACCCCGTGAAAATCTACGGGCACCATGTCAAACAACGAATCTCCATTGCTGGTACAGTGAGTAGATTTCGTCACCCAAGTCTACCCACAGCTTCCTGAAAAGGCAATAAATAACGTCATCTGCAGAGAAAACAAAATAAATCCCACATAAACTTAGCAAAAAGCAGAGTAAACCAGCAAGACCAAATAATGGACCAACAAACTCACACACGCTAAAACTGGAGGGACCACTGCTTTTAGGACTTCTGGTTCCTTTGCTATTTGATTGAGTTTGGTTCATCATCTCCACCATGAGCTATCAACGGTAATCTGGATGGTTTGAAACTCGAATCACCCATCGTCGACCGCACTGATGTGGGAAAAAAGAAGAAAACAATGATATAGTCTCTAGAAAGCAAAAAGAAAAAGAGAGAGAATCAAGCGGGCATATTTAGGGATTCTTCTTGCCTGATTCGGATGCACAACTTCAGATTCTCTACTCCATTGAGAGATCCAACTTTTCATCCACGATCAGCAAGCCTCACACCCACAGATAGAGAGAGAGATCCACGTTACTCTAGGAAAATACCTGGTATGCATCGTCGTCGATGCCGTAAGATCCCATCAAATCTCATCAATCAGAAGGAAAGCTAAAATCAGATCCAAAGGAAACAGAGAGATAAATATCATGAGGTTCTGAAGTTTCGAACCTTTCTCACCATCGGAGAGAGGAATCTGGCGATCCGCTGACGGTCGACCGCTGCCATAAGATCCGTCGAATCTCAACAATCAGAAGGAAAGCTAAGATCAGAACCAAAGGAAACATAGAGACTAAATAACATGAGTTTCTGAAGTTCCCAACCTTTCTCACCATGTGAAGCAGTCACAAACGGAGAGTGACTTCTCTGTTGCCTCCTTTGAGATTACACAACAAAGTAGCGTCCATTACCAAGACTGAGAGATGAAGAACCGACGAACAACAGAGCAAATAAACCCAGCGTGAGAAACCAGGACCTGAGAGGAAAAGAGAATAGAGAGAGTGTAGAAGAAAGAGAAAGAAATTCTTGCTCCAAAGCCACAGTTTAGAGAATTGGAAGATAAACAAATCAGACGACTAAATGCGGCAAAATTGAACAGAACAGAAATCTCACATCACACACACAGCCCTGTCCTGCTCTGCAATGATTTGAAAGACAATCTAGAACCACGCCAGCAAGCCAAATCGACGGCTTCAAATGTGTGGGCAAAAGAAATAAAAAACAAAGGCAAATATGTCACCTCCGATCTGCAGAACCACCAAGTGGGGAAACCACTCTCAAGTCTCAACGAACCACCCAGGCTTTTTCAAGGCCCCCACCACTCAACTCACCCACGGGAAACCCCAAACCCCAACACACACACACACACACACACACACACACACCTTCTATGGAACACCGAAGCAACTGACAACGCCTCGTTTCGCGCAACTGCATAATCTCCGGATACAGCGAGATCTTGTGCGACCAACGCGGGCGAGGCCAACCAACCAGCTCACATCCCAAGTAAACATTGCTTAACTACCGGTTCCATTCCAACCGAGCTTGCAAATCCCTTCCGATTCCAAACAGGCAACAGGCAACGCTCGCCCACACACCAGCCAAGGCCAGGATAGAACAGTACAACTGAGTCACGTTGTACAGTGAAAGTAGTCTGTGTGTGCAGTGCCAGCTCCTGCGGTGGGTTTTCTTATTCCAATAACTTGGTGACTTTATGTAAAATTTAATGTCCAATCAAATCAATATACAAATTATTCGCATCTCATTTTCTGTTTTTGCAATTATGATATCTATTCTAGTGGGCAACTTTTTTTTATGTAGATTTACTTAAATTAATATCACTTTAAACGTAATACATCACTATCCATGACAGTCATTTGGGGGACCAACTGTAATTCACAGAGATAAGAGTCCAATGTAAAATATAAAGTTCTGCTAACATAGTAGTAGTGTTTATGGGGTTAGATGACAATGTTCACAATTGAAGGAAGAGGCCATTGTTGATTTGGCCATTTTGAATCGTATAGGGCCAAAGTACTATTGAGCTTCTTATTTGTTTATGTTGTTTGCTTGAATTCGCAATGATGTGGTGAAGTAGCTTCTCGTTGATGTTTGGAGCGTATATTGCTAGTCCTGGTTATCCCTTGAGAACCTTCAGCGGAGGGGAAAGTGTTCCTCGACATTGCTTTTGTTACTCTAGTTTGAGGGACCTTTGCAGTTGTGGTCATCTTGTGGGTCTGCTAGACCTCCAAATATGTCAGTAGTCAATAGTGTTCTAGCGTTCATGTGGTAGCTTATAATGAAGAATCTCTTGTATTTATAACAAATTTGTTTAGAGGTATTTGTTATTGCTTTGTCATTGCAGATGTAAGTTGGCTTTGACCTATTCATTTTTTATAGGGTACTGTCTATTTTTTGTCCAAACATTTTTCAGATTCTTTTATATTATCCAAACCTATTAAAATGCTATTAATTAGCCAAATCTATCGTAATTGATCAAAATATTAGTCATTTTTACATTATCGTTAATAATTTTGTAACTCTTTTCTTAGTTAAAATGCTAAAATTTTAGAATGTTGTCCTTCATGTGTTTCTTCCAAGTCAGTATCATGTTGCCAAGTCAATATTACTAACAAAATTGCTGATTGGAAGTTCACATTTGGCTAATTCTTAGTATTTCGATAAGTTTGGATAATATAAAAGAATCTGAAAAAGGTTTGGATAAAAAATAGACATTACCCTTTTTTATATTTTATATCCCTACAAAACACAAAGATAATAATTAAGTTGTTATTTGATAGTATCCTGTATTCCCAATGTGTATCAAGTTTTTGCAATGTTATCATAGATATTATTTTACTATAATGCTTTTGGTATGTTAGTTTACTATATTACAAAACAGGCATGATACATGAGGAATGTGATGACTATTGTTCCTCACATGACTCGTGCAGAAAAGAGGGTTGGGCAGGAGTAATAGTTGTAGTCGAAGAATTGTGTATTAAATCTGGATATTGATTTGCGAAAGGAAAATGCAGAGCAAGACTGGATCAAAACAGTTGCCTTAGTGCTGGGAACCAACTATGAGAGTGAAATTCGAGAAAAATATTTCGTAGCAAAATATGTTTATTCTAGTTACTTCAAAATGGAGGTTCTTGCAATGTCATAGCATTTCACAATACAAAAAATACAACTCAGATGGCTGAAGATGACTATGATAGATACACCATACATGTTCAAACTCAAATAATCAAGCATTTACAATGAGACCGAGAAACCGCAACAAATGTTTGGGGTTTTTTCTATGGAGGTAGTCAGACACGGCCAAACCTGCAAACTGAGGTTGGACATTGGTTCATGTAATCAAATAAAAGGAATTACTTGTTTTGGTTGTCCTCGTGATTCATTGGCATAAGCTGGCTTTATTGATCAAATCATAAAGGTCTTAGCGAAATGCTAAGTCACTATATTATTAGCATTTGTCTTCATGTGTAAATATTGAGACTAAGTGTTACCTGATGTATGATTTTCGTGGGGATGATTAGCCGGAATTGTTGAAGATGTAGCTTCCCTTGTATTATTAGCATTTAGAGAAACAGAATTGAGGGATGAAGCTGCACATTGACGAAAAGAGCAATAATTGATGTTTGCTACTCATATGATCTCGCATCAACATCACATTAAATAAGAAAAAAGATAGCGATGAATTTGGAATGTGGTGGCTGGATCTTTATAACAAACTTTACGAGTTGTATATACAGCAGATTGGCAAAGCATAAAGCTAACTGAGGAGATTAGGCTACTATTGAATTGGGATCTCTGCGTGAGATGTAAAAAATGAATGCATTGCTTATAGGGTGGATGAGAGATTGTTGTAGCCTGCAGGTGTAGGTAGACGTTTGCTATCATACTGGAGCCATGAGCTATTTTTCCCTTTTCGATCCATCTACAGTAATCAGGTGATATGGTTCACAGTCACATAAGGTGATAATGTTGAGATATATAAATGGCAGATGTAATCTCAATGATTCTGGTGTGTACTATTGAATACAACCGTATGTTTGTAATGGTATGGTTGCAAATACGGGGTAGAAAAAATTAATATCCATAATGGTCACTAAATCTAGTAAAACATGTCGGATTTGGTCACTCTCCATTAGTCTCCGTCCAACTCCGTTAAGTGCTGACGTGGCAAACGAAATCGCCTAGTCAGCCGGATTTAATCCAACAAAAATATAATCCGACTCGCCACATCATTAAAATCTCCCACGTCATTAAAACTACCCAAACCCATGACCCAACCCTTTCTCTTTTCTCTCTTTTACCCGACCAACCCGAACCTTCCATCTTCTCGATCTTTCATCTCCAAATCTGGCCACCTCCTATGGTGGAAAACTTAATCAATCTGTTACCCCTGGTGCAAAAATGGAGACCAAACCCCAAGAAGCATCGCAAAACTTAATCAATTGTCGTCGTTGTCTTTCTCCGAGCCCAAGTTTTCAATTCCCATGGCGTGGCGCCACTCCCTTGTCTTCATCTTCAACCTCCCCAGCCAAAACCCTAGCTTCCCCACCCTTCCTCCAAAACACCAACCTTTTCTTCCCTCACCGCCGGACAGATCCCGGGGATGGCGTCCAGCAGCAGCCGCATTAGCTCCTCGTTCACCCTCGCCTTCTCCCTCTCCTCCCTCCTCACCGCGTCCACCGTCTCCTGCCGCTGGACCTTCCTTGCCTCGACGTCCACGACCGACATCGTGCGGTGGAGCAAGTGGGCGCGGTAGGCCGCCTGTATTTTGGTTGTCGCGGAGGAAGATCTGGTGTCGGTGGATGGTGGTTTTGGGAGATGGACGAGAATTTGATTGGTCCCCAGCGACAGCGGCTTGTTGGCAGCCTCGTGGAAGGCGTATATGACGGTGGATGTTGTTGAGGAGGACGAGAAGTGATGGAATTCTGAGAACCCTCTCATGGCGAGAGAGGATGAAAGCTTGAAGATAGGAACAGTGTGGGGGGGGGGGGTGAATGGACAGTTGTGATGGAAAATTGAGGGAAATGGTATGATTTACTGTATCATTCTGGAAAGATCATCCACCTCATTCCTCGTCACCGAAATCCCCCAAAAAGTTCCAGAAGAAGCGCAAGAACTGGGATTAGTGAACTGGGTGAGAGATTAGCGGTGGAGCAGGAGGTGGCCAAATCTAGAGAGGAAAGGTCGAGAAGTTGGAAGGTTCGGGTCGGTCGGGTCAAAGAGAGAAGAAGAAAAAGGGTTGGGGTAGTTTTAATGACATGGCGGGTTGGATTTATTTTTGTTGGGCTAAATTCGGCTGACTAGGCGATTCTGTTTGCCACATCAGCACTTAACGGACTCTATTAACGGAGTTGGACGAAGACTAACGGAGAGTGACCAAGCATGACAACCCAGTGACCAAACGTGGCATTAACCCAAGAAAAACATAAGACAAACTTTATCGGTGTTTGTAATGAACCACAACATGTTTCAAATTTTGGAAAAAATTCTAAACCGTGTACATTATCCAAACTAATTATCATATATATCACATTCTAATATATCCTAAGAAACTCATTTTGAATTCATCACTCATTAACTTTAAAGTGTGTTCTTCACGTAGTACATTGCGACAAATACATTTTCAATGCTTGCATAGACATGTAACAATGCAAATTTTCTAAGTCAATAACTAACAGGATCCTGAGAGGGGTTGTAAGTTATTCTTTATTATAGAGGTTAAATCGAAATTAGAAAATAATTTGGAAACCGAGAAATAAGAATTAGAGGGTCTATTTACAATAATTCGTCTAGATAAAACAAGTTAAAGACAAATGCATTTCACAAGGTGTGTAATTCAATAGTCAGTATAAGTCAGTAATTGAAAAATAAATGATTTAGATTTCAAGTCTAGTTTATAACTTTATATTTACGTATAATTTCTAGGAGTGTCCATGGGCCTGGTGGTGGGTGGTTTTGGTTCTTGAGATGTGGTGATTTTGTTGTTGTGGTGGTTGTGAAGAGAAGTGAAGCTGCAAAGAACAGCAAGAGAAGTGAAGCTAAAAGGGTAATGATATCAAAGTTGTTGGGATACTCCATATGGAGGAAAGATTGTGATTGTATATATGGAGGTTTAGTGTGAGAAAGGATGGTGGACTTAGGAAATTTGTAGTAGGTCCCGGGTCTTGTTTTTTATTTTATTTCTGAGTGATATCAATGGAAAATAATAGTTAAGCTTGTGATTCTACACAGGACCCTCTAAAAGACTCTAAAGAAGCCACCCCAAAAAATCAAAAAATTCTAGTTCTACACGAGACAAAAGCAGTGCTTTACACGCCACTCTATGGGCAGCACTGTTGGTGGATCTAGGTACCGCCCAAAACTCTATACAAACAGACAAAGAGCTAAGGATCTGAAGACACTCTCGTAACACCGGACCACCAATCGAGTCTTCTAAGACGCCTTGACGGGCTTGGTTGACGACGACTTCGGAATCACCTTCGACTATCACGTGGGTCAAGAATCTTGAGGCTACAAAGGAGATAGCATTCCTGAAAGCTAGAAGCTCTGTTAGATAAGGGTTGACTATTCCTTGATGCTGCAACCCGAACGCCAACATCACATGCCCGTCTGACCCACGGATAACAAGCCCAGACAAACACCCGGAGGCACAAACAGCTGCGTCGACATTGATCTTCAAAAAGCCTTCTGGTGGAGGGACCCAAGTGGTGGCAGGAAGGTTTGGGAGTAGAGAGCTGCGGGGAGGAGGGGGGAAAGAAGACTGGAGATTCGAGGACCTGGTTGTAGAACTGTTTGGCTAGGGTACGGACATGAGGTTGGATAAATTCAAAGGTTACTTTATTTCTAGACTTCCAAATTCTCAAAGTAAACAGACGCATTGGAGAATGTGGAATGGGAAGGTCTCAGAGACCATGACATGTCGCCAGCATAGACTAAAGTTAACAGTCTGGGCGGTCTCAATAAAGTTGCTCAATCCCACTAAAGTCCACAATCTGATGGCTAGGGGGCATCTGAATAATAAATGTTCAATGCTTTCTCAATGTCTCCAGCAGACATGCCATCGGTTAAGACAGTTTACTCCACGAGTTTGAAGGGACACTACTGTGGGAAGTATGACTTTGAGGCATTGCCATATGAAGAATCTGAGCACAATTAATATGGTATCAATTAATTTCATAATTATCCATTGGTCCAATTAATATGAAAAATGGACAAAGAAGGAAATGTAACTAAATCCCTTAATTAATCACTCAATTACTCCATGTTTCAAATCCCAGCGATAAAATAGACACTGGATTTATTTTACTACACTATCCCAATAATTGATGGGCTAATTATTCTAAAAATAATGGGTTGATCAGTGACACTATCGAGTGAATTTGAGGGAAATCGACACCATTATTAAATGGAGGGCGAGAGTTAATACCCGCACTAATCACAGGCTGGCACCCGGTGAGATGCAAAGATAGAGCGTAATCATTTGAATAGCAATTAATTTCTTAATCTTGAGAACCGCAAAGTTAAGAGCCAATAACTAGAAGGCGACTTTTTAGCTTCGATGAACCAAAATAAGCGCTCACCTCTTTACCTCGGAATTTACTTCCATTGATGGCTAGGATCATGGTCAAGAAAACCGTTTAATAAGTCGGAGTGATTAATGCAAAATAATTTTGCGTGAGTGGCCATCGACGGGAACTTTGTCTTTGGGGAACCACCATGTTTGGCCTCAGTCTCGTCAAATAACCGGACGTGGAAACTAAAATAGCCACCAGAGGAATAGACTGAGCCCTTGTGCCAAAGATACTTTGAAAGCCAGAAATTAATTATGGAAATCAAGAATTAATTTGTTTTATCCCATAATTTGAGATATAAACCAACCATTAAAGGTTGTAAAGCGCCATAAAATGATGGCTTTAGTGACTCATTAATCACTTAAAATGGATCATTAAGACCCAATAACATCAAATAATATACTAACTGATGTATTAAAACCAAATAGTCGAAACGGACCAATGGGCCATTAATTGGTACTTTAGTTTTCGCCGGAGGAAAAATTAATTGCAGCGCCAGACCAACAGATTCGCCGGAGGCATGTGTTTCCAGTCGGCAGCGGAGCTTCTCTGCTGGCCGCCGCTTGATGAATCCCCATCGCTCCCCTTCTCAGCAATTAACCCCAAGTTTGACAACCTTAAGTTGATTGTTGGGCAGATTAAGCAATTTCAGGCAATGAATCTTGCCAAAGGCCTCGGGCAAGTACTTCAGCTTCCCGGCGGACAGATCCACCTTATCAATTCCCTTGTCGGAAGCCTCTTGAAGAATCCTGATGACCTCTTCATTCAACTCCTGAGGGACTGGCTCTTCCTCGCCCTCAACCCGCTCGGCGTTCTCGTACATCTGAACCAGCCGCTGCTCGGCTTCCTTCAACACCTTATCGTATCCGAAGTGCATCTCTTCGAGCTGCAGTATGGTCAGGTAGAGGCTCTTCTCCTTCTCGGCGATTTGCCGGCAGTCTTCCTCCTTCTTAGCCAGCTGCTCCCTCCAATCCAAGAGGTCGACGTCCTCGGGTCGCGGTGTGAGGACGACCTCCTCGAGGCGCTTGGACAGATTCGCCTCGATGTCGGCCAGGGAATCCCTTTCCTTTTCTTTCCTTTCCTTGCGCGGTCGTCAATCGATTTCCTTTTTTGCAACGGTCTTTTATTCTTATTCTTCTGTTGTTAAGACTTGTTCAGAGGATCGACAAATATCTCACTTCTTTTACCCTGTATGTTTGTTTATCGCCGAAGCTATTTTCCGGTCAACTCATTCTGCTGCGGCGGTGATTTATCTCACTTGCTTTCCCCTGCTGTGTTTTCAGGGTTTGATTCACGAGATTTTCAAGCATGTCTGGACCACTTCACTAGATTTCTCCTTTTGTTGTTTTCGTAATTTCTTTCTTCCCCACAATGAAAACCTTTTACCCTTTGGAATCACTTCACTTGGTTAAGATATATGGAGGTTGGAGAGTGTCAAAAAGTCTAATGGAGGTGCATTATGAGAATTTATGGTAGTAGGGGCAAGTGGCCAAGTTAGACATGGAGATAAATTTAAGAGAATATAATAATGTAGGGCGGTTTATGTTTTTAACCGGGGAAAATTAAAGGACTATAGTATGTACCGTAACGGTATTTATACTAGGGATGACAATCAACCTATGGTCGTGGGTACTCGACCACTCTCGACCCAGTCAATGCGGAGAATCTCCGCTTTGACCAGGTATGGGGCGGGTATGGGTAAAACCCGCAAAAAATTTGATGGGTATGTGAAGGGTATGGTTTTAGCCTCCCCGCCTCATACCCATACCCGCCCCACCAAGAGAATTTTTTTACATATAAAAAAATATGTGGATTAAATTGTAATCTATCAATGATGATGATGATAACTCGAGAAAATAAATAGTAGAAATGCAATTGAGTAACCACCTTAATCAAAACCTAATTCATTTCCCTCAATTCTCTTTCACTCTTTCACTTTCCCCCTTGTCAACAAGATTATGTTAGTTAATATTACTTAGTAAATGTATCAAGAGTTAGAGCATAATAATTTAAAAATTATTGTAGTCTATATTATGTATTAATGGATGTTTTAGGATCATATTCTTTGAACCGAATTTAGAAAATGACCGTGTTTTGTTGACTTCATGATATAATAGGTTTGTTTAGGGTTATAATTAAAACTTTTCTTGTAAGTTTTAGGTATAATAATGTTGGATGTACGGGGACAGGTATTACCCATGGGTACCCGAAACCCACGGGTATGGGGATGGGTTTTCAAAACATTCCCCCGCATGGGTATGGGTATTTGAAGATGGGGAAGGGGATGGTTTAGACAAACCCTCCCCAAACCCGCCCCATTGTCATCCCTAATTTATACTACTATAGTGTGATCCAATAGACATAGAATCCTTGATTTATAACCTCGCATGTAACCGAAAAGGTCGAATTGAATATTAGGATCAGTTGGTTTATAATATTATATCAGAGGTGGTTTGATCATAAGGCAGGGATGGAGCCAGCTTGTAGCTAGGGGGCCAACTTACAAATCCAAGCAGAAGTGAAGCATTACAGCAAATAGTAAATATGGTGCAGTGATCTGGCATGTTAAATATAGGATGGAGGATTAGAGTTCGATCTCATCCATCTTCAACTCACAAGCAAGAGTATGATGTACGCAAGTGCCGAAAACTTGTTTGTTTATTGATCGATTGTTAAATTGGACCAATGCTAGAGTAGTTACAATACATATGCCGCTAATTAGGGATGACAATTTAAACGAGAGGAGTTACGGTGCTAATTGTATAAGAGTTAGCACCGTTCTAACCAAAGAGCAATGGAGGGCTTTATTGGTATTTAGTAAAATTAAATTTAATAAATAAATTAAATTTAATTATCTCTCTCCTCCTTTTTAAAGAACTTTAATGTGAAAAATACAAGTGGAAAAACTACTACTAGTTTGAATTAGTAGTGATTTAGCTTAGATGTTGTATTGATTTTATAATAATCCGTAGTGATTTCGTTGTTTTTAGTAGCGTTTTTTAAATAGAAGAAGTTGATTATATTTGGAAAGAATAATACGGTAAATGAAAAAATTACTACAAAGAACAAATATTACTACTAATATACAAAACACTACTAATACTTTACAAATATCACTGCTCAACTGTTAATTACAATAACAATAACTACTAATACATATGAAAAATAATACACCACAATCACTACTAACCCAAAATCAATACTAATCAAATAATAATATAGACCTGGAAAATATTCTCGTTCTTCCTCCACGCATGCTATCCACGAGTGATTGACGGCAATGGTGGTGGAAAGCCAACGCAAGCAAGGTCAGCGCCGTTGCGGGCGGAAATCGACGCCGTTGCAGGCGGAATCGGGGCAAGAGACGATGACGAATCGGCGCCGTTATCAGCGGAATCGACTTCGTTGCGGCGGTGATTGATGGATCTCGGGCTCTCTGCGGAATCGAACCACATCTCCAGCGCATCGTCTTTGTTTACGCTGGCAGGCGAGGTTGAAGCAAACGATGGCAACGCAGGAGAGGGTGGCGGAGGCCGCACCGGTGCCGACGGTGGCGGGGCAGGTGAGGCCGATGGAGATGACGGCGGCGCAGGCAAGACTGATGCAGACAACGACGACGTAGGCAAGAGAAGCGAGGAAGACTATGATGGCGGGGAGGGTGGAGGCGGAGTGGGGGAAACCGATGGAGAGGGGGAAGCCAACGGAGATGCAATTTTGATGGATTATTGAGCTAGAGAAAGAGAGAGAGAGACAGCTAGAGAGGAAAAAGGGCAAAAATAAAAGAACAAATGGAAAGGACGGAGATTGGATTGGTTATTATCGTGCTAACTTAATAGATAGTTAGCACTTAGCTTAGCATCCCATCCCCAATTTGAACTCATCCAGTCGAGTATTAACCGACCTGACCCATGATGGAGAGGGTATTATCTGACCCACAGTAACGTGGGGCGCAGTATGGGTATCTACTTCCTACCTGATCCGCTCTGCTCCGTTCTTGGTCCATTCTATCTCAATTCCTAACAACACCTATTCATATTTCTCATATTTTGCCTTTTCTTCAACTAGTTAGACTCAATGCAGTCAAAAGCGTGATTATACCTAGAAGCGGAAAATGGGTAAAATCGTAAACCGTAGAATCAAAGCGTAAAAACGTAAGTTTTTTACGCATACTGTAAAATAACGGAAAATGTGTTAAGTACGACATATACTATGTGAAATATGAGTGCACATAGTTTAGATAAGTTAATAAATACCTGTAATTCATGTCTAAAGTTGAGAAACTCATAACATTTTAACAATAAGTTCATAAACATATATCTTAACCATTAGCTACCTTCCCCTCTAAGCTAGTGATTTTGGGAAGGGTCTAGTTGGTGAATTAGATTACTCTATTGAAACTAAGAATGCACCCAAGTACTTGATATGTATCTTTTAATCTTAAATATATCATTTTTTTTGTGATTTACCTGTGAAATATAAGTATTTTCGTGAATAGAATACTCCTTTAGTGAACTAGAAGCGTAAAAGCGTAAAGCATTTTGGTGAACCAGAAGCGTAAAAGCGTAAGCTTTTAAGCTTTAAAGCGCATTTCAGTCCCGATTTTATACACTTAAGATTTTATATTGAAACGAAAGCGTTTTAGTGTTGTAGAAGCGTAAAACCGTAAGTTTTTAAGTTTTAAAGCGCGATTTTGACTTCATTGGTTAGACTTGATCTTTAAATTAGTTAGACTCAATTACACATTATATTTTCATTATTTTTCACTCATAAAGCGTTTTTCCTTCGTTTTATCGTAAAAGGTAAATTTTGCGTGTTTTTTCTCCAAATATGTAAGAGTGAGTCGACTCGCTCAACCTTGTACCCGTGTAGGTATCATCCTGTCCAACCCGTACATGACCCGCGGTAAGAATGAGCCGGTATTGAGATACCCGCTCTTCCCTACTCCACCAGTTTGCTATCACTAGTGCTAATCCTAATACGTAACTCTAACTATAGCCGAACCCTACTAACTAAAACACCTAAGCCACTCGGTCACACCCTAAACTTCTCCTAATCCGTAACCCAGAAGGAATACCAAACCCTACCCTACTCTTCTTGATTATTCGGCCTACACAACCCCTACCCTACTCTTCTTGATTATTCGGCCTACACAACCCCCCTTCATACACTAGTAATCCCCTTAAACAACCCGAATCTACGTACCTAACAAATAACTTCGTAGGAATGTGAATAATTCCAACGGTTCAATCTCGTTCCTATATTCCAGTTGTCGGGCCAATTACACCTAAGGACCCTTAATGGCCTCCATAAATTCGTCACGTGCATGCAAAGTGATGGTTTTAGTAGACTAGGGCACTGACGTGTGTCCAGTCCATTAGATCCACCATTTGATGAAGGTGAAGGTATTAGAGTATACGAGTAGTATTGTGTTATATTACGAGTATTGTTAGTTAGTTTCTTATACGAGTAGTATTGTGTTATAACACGAGTAGTATTCGTGTCATTATAGAAGTCAATCTATGTACTCTACATACTACGATATATTGATTTACCAACATATGGGGATCGGAGCACTTTCCTCAAAGGGTACCATTGTACTAATTGTGAGCTAACTAAACTGGAAAATGTTACCAGAACTAGATGCACCAGTCACAAAATATAGAGATTTTCTTGGGATATGCTCCCTTACCTTCTAGTATGCTTTGCGGATATTTTTAGGTGTTTTGGCTTAAGTTTGTTGGTTTTTTTTTTTACAAAAGATAATCAGCTATATTGATTGAAACAAAAGCTATTACATCCTGGAAACCAGCCAGGCCTGGAACTCAAAAATTGACACGTAGCCGGGTACAAAGTAAGGGCTTTTCTAGCCACCAAATGGGCTACCCCATTGTTACACCGACCTACAAATCGAACATTAAGCGCACTATAACTCATAAAACTCCCAATGAGCTCCTCCAGAACCGCCCCAATCCGATCATCACTTGCATTCCGCCGAGTAATTTTATCAATGATACTCTAGGCGTCACCTTGGAAACAAGCATCGTGAAAACCCAATTCCAGACACCATACCACCGCTTCCCGAAGAGCAAACACCTCAGCCACCAAAGGGTCATCATTATCAGGAAACTGCACGCCACGAACCAGCAGTATATTCCCAGCAAGATCTTTAACCACGATCCCTCTGGCCGAATGGAACCCAGACTTTGTTGCCCCATCCCACATATAGGTAACCGACTCAACTATAGAGGTCGAACCCGCCGTAGCTTGGGGAGGACGCGGAAGCTAAACCTGGTCTCTCGGGAGCCGCATCCATTCTTGGTATTGTTGATAAAACTGCCGCAAAAGAGATGGAATCCCAAACTGTTTACCCTCAAAGACTACCTTATTACGCGATCTCCATATTCGCCAAAGGACAGCTACCACCGCCATGAACAGATGGGGCTGGTTAACAATGGACATAAGCTTTTTCAAAAATAGAGGGAATGGTTGGCGTTGCAGCCATTGACCAAGATGTTCCAACCCCGCTTGATCCCAAAGGGCCCTGGCTACTAGACAATCCAAGAACAGATGCTCCATTGTCTCCTGCTGCGCCCAACACATAGGGCAGTGGGACTGAACCAGAACGCCTTTTTCGATCAACGCTTCAGTTGTTGGAAGGATGCGAAGGAACAATTTCCATAGAAAAACTTTTAGCTTAGGGGGGAGGTTAGCGTTCCACAATCGTATCCAGCTTGGGTTTTCCATCCAGCTGACCATGGACCTCCACCGACCCTTCTGTTTATTGATCAAAACTGCAAGGTGGTAGGCCGATTTAACTGTAAAGATCCCATCAGGTGTCATATGCCAAATTAGCATATCCTCTACATTCCCACGAGGGAGAGGGATAACCTTAATTGCACGACATACTACCGGGTCACACCATTGCTGGAGCTTCTCATCACACCATTTTCCTTCTCCTTAGCAGATAACTGATTCTACCTTTAGTTCACCCCCATCCGAAAGGACTTGAGGATTATAGACCGGGATATTAGGGTGAAGACGGGGAATCCAACTAGAAGATAGGAGGGGAGAAGACCACCCATTCCCAATCTGCCAACGGAGACCCCGGAGAAGCACCTGGCAACCATAAATAATACTCTGCCACCCCTACGATGGGCGAGACCTGGGAGTAGCTGTTAGGAAGGTCCCTCGTGGGAAATATTTTCCTTTATATACTTGCGCCAGGAGCGACTATGGTTCAGTCAGGATTTGCCACCCAATTTTTGCCAACAGGGCCTGGTTAAATTGTTCAAACCTCTGAAATCCCATGCCACCCTCATGCTTGCTAGTACACATGTTGCGCCAGGACACCCATCTAATTTTGGAATGCCCCCCTTCAACACCCAACCAGAATCTAGCCACATGTCTATCTAAGAGCTGACACAAGGATAGGGGGAGCTTAAAACAGGACATCACATGCAGAGGCAAGGCTAAGGCAATTGATTTGATCAAAGTCTCCTTAGCCTCCCATGATAATGTCCTCTGCTTCCACCCTTGCAACCTGCTTAACAATTTTTCCTCAAGGAATCGGAAGGTAGCCATCTTAGAACGCGCAATCAACGTGGGAAGTCCCAGGTACTTATCTTGGACCCCCACCGTTCTAACTCCCAAAACTTCGGCAAGTAAATCCTGATCAGGCAGAGAGACATTCTTACTGAAGAAGACTGCTGACTTGCCCAGATTGACCCTTTGTCCACTAAGTTCCTCATACGTTTTTAGAACCACTATAAGATTCTCACACTCCTGTAAAGAGCCTCGGATGAACAAATAAGAATTATCCGCAAAGAAGAGATGCGAGATTCGGGGAGCCCTCGGAGCAACCTTTACTCCTTCCAGTTTACCCACCGTGATAGCCTGTCGGAGAAGAGCCGCAAAGCCTTCCGTGCAGAGCACAAATAGCAATAGGGACAAAGGGTCACCCTGCCTAAGACCACGGGACGAAGTAAAGAGCCCGACCGGGGTGCCATTCATTAGCACCGAGAAAGATGCTGACTTGAGGCATTCTTGAACCCAACCACACCAGACAGAGTTAAACCCTAACTTTCGCAAAATTGCAAGCAGAAACGGCCATTCAACTCTGTCATAGGCCTTTAACCATGTCAACCTTTAGAGCCATGTACCCTTTCTTTCCTTGCGTTTTGATTTTAAAATAGTGCATTAACTCGTGACCGAGCAAAATGTACTCCACTATCTTACGTTCGCGGATAAAAGCATTCTGACCCTCTGAAATGATTTGGGGCAAAAAAGAGCAAGCCTCTCAGCCTTAATTTTAGTAATGATCTTATATACAAATTGGCATAGACTGATAGGTCGGAGTTGAGTCATGAGCTCCACATTGTCCACTTTAGGGATCAGAGTGAGCCAGGTATGATTGAAGCTACGAAGCAACTTGCTCGTATTATAGAAATCATGAACCGCCTCAATCACCAAGGTACCTACTATATCCCAATAGGACTTAAAAAATTTCCCAGAAAACCCATCTAATCCAGGGGCCTGTTTAGTTCCCATAGAGAACACTATTTTACGAATTTCCTCAGGAAAGACCTCTGCCGTAAGGTACTCATTCATTTCTGTAGAGACCTTACGATCGATTGGAAGATCAGCAATCCTCTCATCCATGTTATGAACCAGATTCTCTGAAGTAAAGAGGTGTTGATAAAAATTCACTGCTATATCCGCCTTCCCTCACT